TTAAGCTCAAAAAAAAAAAAAAAAAGTAACTGTTAATGTTAAAAGGTATCATCTGGGAAAGGGAAGAAACAAAGCACATTTGAAAGCACAGTGAAAAGTCACTGCAGAAAGAACCTCAACCAAGGAGAAATAAAAGAAATCCCAATCCAGCACTGGCAAGAGAAAATGACCACGAAGGCAAAAAAAAAAACAAACAAAGAAAAACCCCAGAAAACAGCCCCCCCCAAAAAAAAAAAAACCAAAAAGGAGAAATGCCATCCCTGCACGGCAGCTGCGCTCTGTCCCCTGTCACCAAACGGTCCCCAGGCAACTCATCAGGAACAGACTCCTCTGCCTCAGCTTTCTGAGCAGATGCCATCGCATCGCAGCACCTGGGCACCAGGCTGCGGGGAAGGAACCTCTTCGGGCTCATTAACAACGGGCCGGAAAGCGTACGCTGCCGACGTACGGAGCTTGGGAATCGCGCCGTCCTTCCAGGCTGAGATGGCTCTCGGAGGCCACAGAGCACATCCCAGGCCAGGCAGAAAGCAAGCGGTAGCCATTCACGTTCAAAAATATCTTCAGAAGCCTTGAGAGCAGTCATCAAACTCAGGAAAAAGAACGCATGTCAAGGGCTTGCTAGTTTTAATTAGCACTCGCCTCTCCCTGTCTCGGAAAACGGTATTTTGCATGTGGAGGAGAAGGTTGCTCGTCTTTGTCTTGGGCCAGGACTTGCCAGGCACAGCAGGGCATGAGCCACTGCTTGCTACCCCGGTTCCTAAGCCCAGGCAGGCCTAGCAGGGTTTAGGCTTGGACCACACAGGCTTTGGGAGCACGTTAATCCTGTTCGGGATGACAGCGGCGCCCTGGGCTGAATACCAGCCCCGTTTCAAAAAAGCGATGCCGTCTTCCCTCGCTCACCCTTGCTTGGGCTGAGTCTGCTCCCCGAGCCGAACCACAGACAGGAAAAAAAAAAAAAAAACAAAAAACAAAAAACAGGCCTCGCGTCCCCAGAAGGGCTCCGTAATAACCTGAAATGACAGTATTTGGCAAGCTTATTCTTGCTGGGCCTCGGTCACCTGCTGAGTCAGGACTGCGGAGAGAGGAGCTGCTCACCTGCCCTGCCCTGCAGAGGGGGATGCTCCCCGTACCCACGGGGCAGCACCCAACATATCCACGGCGATACCACACCGACGGGGGCTATACAGGAGGGCACTGCACACCACTGCCCGGGTTAGACCCGTCCCCAGCTGTGCTGCTCCTCTTGCCTCCACGCTGTCAGGCGCTGTATAACCCCAGGTAGGCTGTCACAGAGGGAGGGGACACGTTTACCCGACACCGTATCACAACAGACGCTGCTCCACCCTCGGGCTTGTCCCTTCAAACCCGGGGCTGATAACGCTGCCGGTGCCAGGCAGGGCTGCTGCTCTACGTCCAAGCAGTGACAAACCCACTGGCACTCAGAAAGCATCAGATTCACGCGCCAAGGGCGCAGGTAGGCGCCCGGCTTTGTGCAGCCTGCCCTGTCCAGCGGTTCACGGGAAGTTTTACAGGTTTTTAAGACGTCCATCAGGCTGTATAAAAAGCAAACAGTGTGAACGAAGCCATTCCTACACCGCATCCCTGTGCAAATTCCTGCGTGTCCGAATGGCTGCTGAAGGATCAAGGCTGGATGGAGCCTGGGACCAGACTGTCTCGTACCTGCAGGCAGGGACCTGCTCCCACCCCGCTCCCAGCTCGTGATGCTGGAGCTCAAAGCTGCTGCTGTTGTTGTTTCTCCTCCTTCCTTTTGCGAGAATGTTTTCTACAGCTTTTTTTTTTTTTTTTTTCTAAAGAACATTTTGCTATAAACTAGCAAAACCTGTTCTGGATCCACACACAGAACTGCTCACCATCTGCAGGATTTGCCAGCGTGATTTTTTTTTTTTTTTTTTTTTTTTTCCCTTTTAACAGGATACTATCTCTGCTCTCTCTGGTGTGTGGGCGCCCGGCTGCCTCACCCAGGGAAGACGTGGGCCCGCAGGAATCAGACAGCAGAAGCCCACGAGCCAAGCCCGGCTCCCTTGGGCTACCGAGGAGGCTGAACTGGCCCCCTCATCATGCGAGGAAGCAGGGGGGATCCCAAACCTGCCGCTCCAGCGGTGCTGAGCTCCTTGCAGACCTTGGTCTTGGCTCCGTTTTCCTTCAATTAACAACAGACGTGGAACGAAACATAACATTTTAAGAAAGATCTTCCACATGTATGGTTTTGGCAGTGTCTGATAGCTTTAAGGGAGCCAAAAAATAACTAATCCTCCTCTCCTTCAGCCAAGGGGAGGCTGAGGAGTGGGACCGGTGGAGGGAAAGGGAAGGAGGGTGGAAAGGGAAGGGAGAGAACACATAAAAATGGCCGAACTGGAACCTGTCACTCCCGGTTTCCAGTAGAGCATTTCTAAAGCACAGCTACCTGTATCCCCTCATTGGGGCACTGCAAAGGGGGTGGCAGCACCTCCAAAAGAGGACTGCGCCCCTCGTGTCCCTGCAAAGTGAGTCACTTCACCGATACAGGTAGAAAACCTCACACCAAACCCAGCTTCTTCGGATGAAATCAGCTGCCAAAACCCTGCAGCAACAGGATCCGTGAAAGAAGTCATGATGCAGGTGCAAATACACACAATGCATTGCAAATACACCTTATCTCCCAATTTAATATGCCACCAAACGCAGGCTAAGCGCTCAAGTGAAGTACGTGCACACGCACATGGGGCAAGCGGGCTACCAAGCCTGTGCGTTGGGCTACTTCTCTCTGGAGAGCTGCACTGGGTTTAATTTTTCCACAGGCAGCCAAAAAGGGTCCTTTTAAGACAAAAGACACCTGCAGTGGGGAAAAAAAAAAAACACCGAAGACCACATCTAACTTCACTCCACAATAATTCCTTCCAAGAAGGGTTTCATCAGGTGTTTTAAAATGATGTTTTCAGATTTTTAGAAATACGCTACTCCTGACTCATCGATGAGCTTTCACCTCTAATTGCCCTGCAACACCACCACGGCACATCCACGCCAGCAAAATCCTCCTACGCTGAGTTTTCAACACAACCTTCGCCCATGGAAGTTGTAAAAAAACCCACGACGCAGGGGTTTGTGAGAAAGGGGGTGGGGGAATGACTTAAGGAATCTGTTATTTTGCTCTGCTGTTTAAGCAAAATGCTTTTTTGCAAACATGGCCAAGAAAGGAGGCAATGCACATAGCAAACATGCCTGGGCTGAGCTTAAAGGGGTTTAAACTCTGTGCCTGTAGATCTGTGCTAAATTCATCTTAAACTTAAAGCAAGGGCAGAAGAGCAGCGATTGGGGGAAGCAAGGAGTATTTGTGATTCATGAATTGTTCAAAAAATACATTACAAAAAAAAAAAATTCCTGACAGTTGATTTCAGTGGTGTTCACAAGCTGAAGGAAGGAAAACTCTGGTCAGGAGGACTGGGAACGGGCCCCCTCATGCAGAAGATGAGGGAGAAGGTGTTTACAAACCCCGTTAAAAGCAGATTCCCACATCCTGGGGGGGAAGAGCCACAGCCCCCCAAGCTGCAAGGAGCCACCCTTCCCAATCTTCACTTTAGGACAACATAAACTCCATCGATTACAGGATCAATTTTCGCTTGGCTAAAAATCGTACATCTGACCAGTTTTTTTTTTCCAACATCCTCTGGCCAGTTCCCCTGCGGGCTGGGGCTCCGGGCTCCCCCGCCAACCCCCAAATCCATTCCCGGTCCTGCCGCCAGCTGCTCCCCAGGAAGCGGGAGCTTCCCGAGGTTGGGCTGCAGCTGCCGTCCGAGGTTAACGGGGCCGGTGATTCCCAGCTACGACCTTGAACCCCGCCTGGCCGCCACTTTCCAAAACTTTTCTCCTAAAAATCCCGCTCTGTTTAGGAAGCCCGAGGGTTTCTGGGCTGTCGAGGTGTTTCTCCGGCATCGCTCGCCAAGCCAGCGCGGGGCTGGGGCTGAGCGGGCTGGATCCGTCCTCTCGCCGTGCTGTGCACACGCATCATTTTGGGGGAAGGTGGGGAGCACACCCGGACTTCAGGTGTGGCCTGAACCCCAAATCCGGGACCCTTTGGTCCACAGCAGATGATTTTCTCTGCTGGGGTCCCTGCAACTGCCCCTGGGGGTACAGGACCAGCCCTGGGACCTTCTTCCAAGGGTTTGGGGGGGCACCCAATTGTCCCCGGGAGTACGGGACTGGCCCCAGGACCTTCTTCCAAGGGTTTGAGGGGCATCCAACCGTCCCTGGGACTTTCTTCCAAGGGTTTGGGGGGCACCCAACTTCCCCCGGGGGTACGGGACCAGCCCCGGTACCTTCTTCCAAGGGTTTGGGGGGCACCCAATTGTCCCCGGGGGTACAGGACCAGCCCCGGGACCTTCTTCCAAGGGTTTGGGGGGCACCCAACTTCCCCCGGGGGTACGGGACCGGCCCCAAGACCTTCTTCCAAGGGTTTGAGGGGCATCCAACCGTCCCTGGGACTTTCTTCCAAGGGTTTGGGGGGCACCCAACTTCCCCCGGGCGTACGGGACCAGCCCCGGTACCTTCTTCCAAGGGTTTGGGGGGCACCCAACTTCCCCCGGGGGTACGGGACCGGCCCCAAGACCTTCTTCCAAGGGCTTGGGGGGCATCCAAGGGGCCACCCCAGGGATGCTGCGGCAGCCCGCCCCACCGGCAGTCCACACGGGGCCGGCCTGGCACCGCCACGGCGGGTGGGGATGGACACGCGGAGCCCCGGGATGACGAGGGAGAGCCGGGGGATGTTGGGGGACACCTAAAGAATCGGGAGCCGCCGTAGGAGAACGGGCTACCCCGCGGGAACACCTGACACCGGGAGGGGGCAACGGCCGGCGGACGCCGGATCGGGATGTAACGGCGAGTACCAGGCCACCACCGAGCCGCGGAGGCGGTAACGGGGTTACCGAAGCGGAGCAGCGGCCGCTGGTAAGAGCGAGACGGCCAACCCGGGGGCCTCGAGGGGTCGCGGGTCGCCGGTGCCTCACCTGGCTCGCCTTGTAGAACTGCTTCTTCAGCCCCGCCACCGACATGCTGCCGCCTTGTCCGGGACGCGGCGGGACACAGGACCCGGCCCGGCCGCCGCCGCCGCTTCCGCCGCCGCCGCCAGGAAGCGCCCGCCCCGCCCCGCCCCGCCCCCTGCCGGCCCGGCGGAGCGCCTCCACCGGCACCACCGAGAAGTTCGTCGCCAGCCGGCCGGAGCGCCCCCCCCCCCCCCGCCGCGCGGTGCCCTCGCGCCCCCTGGCGGAAGGGCGGCGCCGCCGCCTCCGCGTTCCGTCAGAGTCGGCGACTCTCTCGCGACAGCGAGTGCCGCGGGGCTCCGGCTCTCCCCCCCCCCCTCCAGCCGCATCTTTCTCCCGCTGCGGAGCGGGCCCGCAGGTCTGCCGGGCGCCGCCACACCTCTGCCATCCCCTCCCCCGGCCCCCGCGGTGTCGCCGCTGGGTGTGTGTGTTTGCCGTGTAAAACGGCGTCGGCAGCTCCGCGGCTGCGGCGCAACGTAACTTTCCCCAGGAAGCGGGGTCGGTGCCGCCTGGACGGAGGCGACCCGGCCGCAAAAATACCTCCGGGGGAGGGTGTGAAGCTCTTAAACCCAAGGGGTTTCGCGTGAGCCGCAGGGAGGGGACAGCGTGTGGAACACGGGGCCAGCCGGGCCGGGGAAGGGCGCGGGGGGACAGCCCGCGCCTCCCCCCCTCAGCAACTGCCATAGCAGCGGTGAGGATGCGGGGGGGGGGGGAGCGACGAGAGCGGCCATGGAGCGCGGCGCCCCTCCCCCTAACTACAACTCCCAGAATCCCCCGCGGCACGCGCCTGCGCGCGGCGGCCGCTCATTGGCCGCCGCCGCCGCCATTTCGCGCCCTGGCTCGGGCCCCGCAGAGGTGTAGCTCGGTGGGCGGCCTCGCCCCCCTGCCCGGTGCTGGGGGAAGACTACCCCGGCCTCCCCGGGGCCGGCCCCGGGGCCGCACTGCCGCTGCCCCGGCTCCCGCCCGGCCAGCCAGGCAAGCGTCCAGCCCAGACGTAAGGACCCCACGCTCCCCACCCAGCCACCCAATCAACGCCTCCGGCGCGCCAGACTGATAGCCGCCGCCGCCAATCAGCGGCGGCCGCCGCGCGAGCCAATCGAGAGGCAGCGGCGAGGCCGGGCGCCCACCCTCCTCGCGAGACGCGGGCGGGACGGGCGGAAGGGCGGGTCACGTGGGGCGCGCTCCGCCTATCAGCGCGGCGAGGCGCGGGGTCGCCCCGGCTCCCGCCAAATACGAGCGGGAGCCCCCGGGGCGGGACCCGACGGGCCGGGCCGGGCCGGCTGCCGCCGCTGCAGGAGCGGCGGGGACCGCGGCCGCCGCCCCGGGTGAGCAGAGCTGGGCTCGGGGGTGCGGGGGGGGGGGAGCCGGGACGCGGTGTGGTATGTTTCCGACGGCGGTTGGGGTGCGCGGGGCCTTCCCGGGGTTAACAAAGGAGGCCGGGCCCCCGCTGCCGCGCCACGGAGCCAGGCCCGGGCCCAGCCTGCCGCCAAATTCCTGCCCGGCCTCCCCCGCCCTCGGTCTGCCCACAGCGCGGGGGGCCGGTGTCCGGGTGCCCGGCGGGGGTGGAGATCCCCTCAGCCCTAGGGGTACCGATGGGGCTCGGCCTGGCCCCTTTGTCCCGCCTCGCCGTGCCCGCGCTCCGCCCTGGGGAGAGCTGTCGGGCGCTGCCGCGGGCCGGCTGCCTCGGGGAAGCCGGGAGCTCCCTGGGAACGTGTCACAGGTGTTTATTTATTATGTTTTTTCCCTTACAGCCATGGAGTGCAAAGACAAAGTGGCTGTTCCCCCGCGGAAGCTCGTACAAGGTAAGACTGCCGAGGGAGTGCCTGTCACCCGGTGCAGCTGCAGCACACTAAGAAGGTGTCAGATGTGATTTTGTGAAATACAGTGGCTTTGCAGTGATAAACCGGTCTCAACTGCCCAACCTATTTCAATTCATGTGCTGAACAACTAAATATCCCGCTATCTGATTCCCCTTTACCTCAGTAATTTGTATGATGCGACTAAAATAATGAACTGTTGTTTTTTCAGCTCGGTTGCCCTTCAAACGCTTGAATCCTGTGCCAAAGGAAAAATACGATGCAGATTTAGAAGTCAAAAAAGTAAAGAGCTCACAAAGTGGTTTTGGTCCAAGTAAGGATTCTTCCCTAGGTGTGTCGCATGTGTCCCTGGACAATGTGGAGAATGACTGTCAGTTGGATTCAGATGTGAATTTTACTTCAAAACTTGTTAACAGAAAGGGTCCGTTAGACCATTTTATACAGAAAAACACAAAAGATAACGCAGATGAAACTGTAATTGTTATTGACCTGACAAAAGGCTCTAGCCATAGACTAAGTGATGACGAAGACCATGTTAATTTTGACTCAAAAGCATCTTCATCTCTAGCTATAACTAATGGTACATTAGGAAAAGAGATAAACCAGTTGAGTTGCCTGAATTCCACTCAGAGTAGCCAAATGGATGATTCGATGGAGACAGATGCGCCGTGTGAAGCTGTAGCAAATAAAGAGGAAGATTTGGCAGATGGAATCCAGTCATGTTCCAGGGTAATAGAGTGTAACAATGTGGAAAACATGAAGGTAAACCAGAGTGAACTGAAGGATGTCATCTTTGAGGGGAAAATGCCTGTAGTGCTCCTGGAAGATATTATGACTGCAAAATCTCCTTACATCGCTTCTTTGTATGGAAGTGTCGTGTTGGAAAATGAGACCGTGGAATTGTCTCACGAAGGAGACTCTGGACTTACTAACTCCTCACTAAGCTCTCGCTCTGTGAGCTCACCTGAGCCACAGCTTGCTGAGGAAACAAAGAGAAATACCAGTCCTTTAGCTGCCTCAACACCTGTTAGGAAGGTTGGTCTCTTTTCTTGGCTGTTTTTTTGGTTTTTTGTTTGTTTTTTTTTTAAAAAAAAGGCTGTTGCATTGCAGGTATGTTGTATGGTTTCCTGTGCTTGTAGTGAAGAGGATGGACAGTCTATTCACAAAGATCATGAAAAGCGTATGGAAGGTGGTGTTGATTTATTAATAACGTAACTGAATTGCAGCCCTTTTGCATCTTCCTTTAGACCCTACAGCTAAAGGATTTAAATCTTGCCTAGTTTTGAGCTGCTGGTTTATTTGCATCCTGGGTATGTAATATTAAACTCTGTTACAGCTTCATTGTATATTTTTTTATGAACTGTTTATGAAATAGGTGCACTAGGACTTAGCATTTTGGTAACTGGGATAAGAACAGTGTCCAAAAGCAGTTTTGTCCATTAGGTGACATTTTACAACCTCTCTCCTATCCCTGATGAAGCTGCTGTAATTACTGTGAGAGGATGTTGCCTCAGTACCAGACAATGCAGACACTTTTGCAGCTCCGAATTTCTGCAGCTGTGGCACAAGAAATGCTTTGAGTTGAAGGCACAGTGGATCAGTGGAACTGCACATCTGTATGTGAGGACGGAGGACAAGTCAGATGAGCTTCTGTCTCTCCAAACTGAGTGTACAGAGCTTGTGCTCTCAGCCTTCTCGTTACAGGCTTGCCATGGAGCATGGGGAGCTGCTTGGGGGAAAAGGCACCGCCTCTGTGGCACTCCTGGAGACACACAGTGCTGTTGGGCAGGGAGGGCTGGAGGACAGGAGGGAACATGTCAAAATTAGCTTTGAATGAGCTGGTTTATTGTGATCTTAGTTCCAGTTTAGCAGCTCTCCTCCAGCAAGAGACCCTGAAACACTGATTTTTCATGCTGTATTGAAGGGGTAGCATCTGGGGATACTAGTGTCTGCCCAAGTGGCTGAAACATTCAAATGACTCAGATGCCTGTTTACTACTCGACCATTCTGGGGAGGAGGAGATCGTGGGGGGTGGGGTGTTTCTCTTTGGGGTACACAGTTGCCCATGGTGAAACCTGTGAAGTGGAGCAGTCCTGGTAAATGTGCCTGGATACTGTAGCTAAGCCTCCCCTACAGTTAGGCTGGGCTATCTGACCTGACCATTTGTTTTGCTCGATTATGTTATTAGAGGGGAAAATGGAGAAGATATTGAGGGTTGGGTTGATGTGCTGCCAGAGGTGGAGAATTGAGTATGTGGCTCAGGTAAATAAGGGTGAAGCAGCTGGTTGTCTTCCTGCTTATGCCATCCGGAGCCTTTTAAGAAAGTTTTTCACAAACTACCCCCCCCGGGGTTTAAGGAGAAACTGTCCCACAAGTGAGCAAAAACTTTGCTGGCCTGGAGGAGGTATGGATGAGTTAACCAGGGCTTGCAGTGTGACAGGTCTTTCATTTCTTCTGCTCTGTGCTTATCAAGAAAAATGATCAATTCTTATACTGTTAAAACTCACAATCTTTCATCTCTAAAATAAATACATAAACTCAAGCAGGCATGAAGTATTTCCAGTGTAGCAGAACAAACAAAAAAGTACTTGACTCCTGATGTAATACGTGAACAAGTTACTGGTTTCCTGCAGTGTGAAGTAAGGCTGAAATAGCACACATGCTGCTTGCCAAAATGGGAAGTCTGCACCTCGACCTGTATGGTTATCTGTCCTGGCATGTTTGTTTTCCCAGGTGGAAACAGCTCGGATAAACTAAAGCTCCCAGTTGAAAGAACTCTTATTTTGTGTCAGATAAATAGAGAATCTCCTGATGCAGCTTTGCACTGTGTAAACTTAAATGCCTAGGAGTACAGTAGATAAAGCAGTTGGCCTGTGTTAGCCTGTTAATCAGAGAGTTTAAACATGGTACCTTATACTGCGAATGGCAGGAGAAGGAACAGGGGGATACAAGAAACCAATCCACAGTATGCTGAAATATTGGCAAATAAAGCCTTTGGCCAGTGGATGAACAATGCTTTTAAACATAAAATACCTTTTTTCCCCTTTAATAACAGCTTTCAGAGAAATTAGAAGTGTGACCTGTTGGGAACTTACGGTTCATGCACTGGTGCTAGCGGAAGAGCAAGAGGGCTAGGATTACAAGAAGAAACAGCATTAAAATATGGATAATGGCCCTTGTATTCGGGAAGTTATATCTAAATATCATAACAAGAGTAGGTGGTAGGATGCAAAAAAACAAACCTAACTTTAACTCGAAGGAAGTGACTTTGCTGTAATT